AATCTTTAAACGAAAAAAAAAGAAAAAAAAAAATTTAACCAAGTCAAAAATGACATTCAAATAATCTTTGACACTTTAAGTAAACTTGCCGAACAGGCAAAAATACACTTACTGTACATTTTTTTAAGGTATATTTATCAAGTTTTTTTTGCATTATTTTTTCGTTATAAGGTCACATGATACGTGTTTGAAGCACCCGTGTATATTAAGAAATTTTCTATAATATTGGCTATTTAATTTATATAATAAATTTTTATCTTCTTATATAGAACGCTTTATGCTTTTTAATCGTGTATTTGTAAAAACAGCAATAGGATATCGTATAGCTTACTCTGCTTCAACGTAATATATTATGATATTATGTTATATTCATCATGCAGTATAGCTCATTATGCTTATAATAAAAAAAAATTTTGATATTTATATTATATAAAAGTCATCATTTTTTTCGTTTTTAAACTTTTATATATAGTATGCTTGCAAAAATATCCTCCCGTTTTGTATTTCGTTACTTTTCCAGATGTATCATTTTTTTTATGTATTTAAATTTTTAAAATAAATAACGATTAAGTATCGTAAAATTTAAAGGATTTTATGCTATTATTTTCAATTTATTAAGTATTATTATAAATATCGATTATATATAATAAACTAGCTGAAACTAAAACGATAAATATTAAAACAATTTTAAACATTTGGTTTCAATTCATTAGTGTTAAAAGTGAGAAGTTAAGATGAAGCTAGGAATAAAAATTAATTTATAATATAAATGTAAAAAAGTCTTAGAGCGATAAAAAAAAAGTTTAACAATTAATTGGTTAGAAGTTCAAGATTTTAAGGACATCTTTTAATCTAAGAAAAATACCAACTCGACCAAGTTGTACGACTATCTATGTAAGGATGGACGTTCAATAAAGAAATTATTTAAAAAAAGAAGAGTAATGAGTAAAATAAAAGGTAGGGGTAAGTAAATATAATTAAATAACAAAAAGGATTGATTGAAAATGAAAGGTTTATTTAAAAATAAAGCATTTTTTGCTATTTTCGAATTAATATCAATTATAAAAGAAATAGTGCGATATAAAAGTGTAAAAATTTTCAGTCATTTTCTTACAACTTTTAACTTTTATTAAGCGGAATACTTGAATATTTTCTTTTAGTGTTTTCCAAATGATTCCTAAGCTATTCTAAATGATTCCGAATAAACGATTCTAATGAGAGTTTATTAAAGAAGTTTATTTTTGTGTTTATGGTATATCTTTTTTTTTTATAAATTTGTGATCTATATAATGTCTAATAAAGTGTTTAAATATTAGAAGGGAAGTTTCATGATTTATTAAAGGAATATTTTTACTAGAACATAATCATATTATAATTTTTGTATTTTTGTTGGTATTTCTTTAAATAAATATCACATTAATAATAACGTGTAGGCGGAATAGCTTAGTTAATTTATTTCTTTTATCTCAATTTTAATTCAGTTAAATTAATTTTCGTTAATTTTGTATCTTAAATTTTAATGGATCCTTTTATTTTTGCAACTTGCCAATCATCTCGTTTTTTTTGGTTATTAATTGATTGATTGAAAATTACCAATCAAAATATTTTACAAAGTCACATGGTGTATCATATTAAGAGAAGTTTTAATTCTTGTAGCCAATATGAACTATGAGATCGAAATTCTTTTTCAATAATCACTAAGATTTTCAAAATGAGATTTATTATGATTTTATTAAGCTCGTTAATAAAATGTATAAGTATTTTTAAACCCACACAGTTCTACATGGAAATTTTGTATTAAAATTCGCAAATATAATTAGTATATAAAATACTTGCATAGTATTAAAATAGTTTTTACATAAACTTTGAGTGATTTAAAAATATTTATTTATGTAATTACTTTAAATTGAGAACCTATTTCTTTCAATCATATGATTATTTCGTAAAAGTTCAGCAAAATCAATCTTTAATTTTATTAAACTAATTTTATGGTATCCATTCAATCACAAAATAATTATATATGGATTAGTGAAAATAAAAAAATTGATGATTTCATTAATCTCCTGCCATACAATGCTTTATGTCGTGTTGTTACACAAAATGATATCCGAAAAAATCATGAAATCCGTAACGTCATTTTTGTTATAGTAGGTTAGTAGAAGTAGGGAACTATATTCAAGGTTTTTTGACGATTTTTTTTTTTTAAAAAAAAATAGATGACTTTGACGACTTTTGAATGATTTATTAAGAAAATTATATAAAAAGGATAAAATGTAATTAGTTATTTTCGTTTTTAGAGACTGTGATTTTTAGAATTATATTCGCTCATTATGCTTATAGTTAAAAAAAAATTGATTTTTTATAGTATGCTTGCAAATATATTCTCCTATTTTATATTTGAAATTTTAAAGGATTTATGTTATTATTTTCAATTTATTCAGTTATATGATAATAATTTACTATTTAAATAAAAATGTTTCTGTTTTATTAAACATTTTGTAATATAAATACGTATATTGATTATTATCTAGTTTAAAAAGAATATATTAACATAAAAGTAGTATTGCTATTTTAATTACACATAATATATGAATCATGTAAAAAATATACAGTATATTATTTTACACATAATCATTTTTCTTTCTTTTTTGAATCTCTTCCACTTTTTTTTTTTTTTGAGCGAGCCATTTTCTTTAACAACATTTTGAATATCATTCACTATTATTGCTTTTTTTTGTTTTTTTTTTAATTTCATTATTTCAGATTTTGCCAAATTTTTCGATCACTGCTTGTGTTATGACGTCTATCTTTTTCATGAAATCGAAATTTTATCTTATTATACTGTATTTAGATTTTTTTTAATAGGTATTTCTTGATGGTAAACTATAATTTTGTGTAAAAAGTCTTCATTTTTTTTAAAAAACTTTTTTGTCATATTTATTTGTTAATTATTTCACATTTTTTCCCTTCAAAAAAATTCGTCATGTGATTAAACTATGTGAGTTAAATTAAAAAAAAATCTCATTTAAGAGTTTAAATATAAAAAGAACGGAAAGAATAGTTATTTATTTAATGACTGAACTAAATTTTTAGCATTGTATAAAAAAAACTAATTAAAGAATTTTTTTTAGTTTAAAAAAAAGATAAATAAAGAACGTTTAAAAAAAAATTATTATTTCGGTATTGAATAAAAAACCGAAAATAAAAAAATTTTTTGGTATTGAAAAAAAAACTGAAAATAAAATACTAATTAAAAAAAATTTGGTTTGAAAAAGAAAGGTCGAAATGGAAAAAAAAAATTTCGATATCAAAAAAAAATAAATTTAATTTCATATTTTCATTCTATAAATCCAATTCCAGTTAAGGGACTATTAATTTTTTTTTTTTGCTAACGAAAAAAAGTTTAGTTTTTTATTAATCATGAAGCTACCCATATCAGAAATACCACACGTTTCATGTTACACAATCTAAATTATTATGATCAAATTTTTTGGTTATATAGATTATAGAGGATAAAATATGGAATGTAAATATAAGTGAAATAAAATAAAAAAATATGAATTCTAAAAATCATGATATGTATGATAAATTTGTCTGTCAAGACTTATTTTATTAAAGTAACAGATTCTCATAAGTTTTAAACCAATAATTTTAAGGAAAAGATGGGAGAAAAAAAACCTAAAGGCAAAAAAAATAAAAAAAAAATCGAAGTATGTTTCACCTCTAATACAATTTATTTTCACTCGTTTTAAAAAGGTAATTATTTAAATTTAAAATCAGGAAAATAATACATAGAATCTTTCAGAGGATTCATCATCCAAGAACTTTTCTCTATCAATTAATATCGCTCATGCATACTACTAGCCTTTTAAATGTTAATTTTATCAGAACATCACGATTTTTAACGTAAAATTAGTCATATTTCAACAGTAAAAATATTGTATCATAAATTTTATTTGATTTATTCTTTTTTTTTAGCACAATTCATTCATTATTCGATCAATGATTTCTAATCAAGTTAATTGTACCGGAATTTATATGTTTCTTAATTATCCATTAATCTAAAGAGAAAGCTATGTAATAATCAAGTCTTAAATACGATTATTCCCAAGTCTTGAAACTATTGTATTTATTGTAATTATTATTATTCTTTTTTATATCAAAATTTATTTTATTTAATTTTGTCATTCTAAGTTACAATACTTGGTAAATTAATGTAACTTAATTTTCAAATTCCTAGTAGGCATCCAAATTTTTACCTATAAATAAACTGCCCTAAAACCGTTTTAACAAAATTTTTTTAGTGTTTATTTATTAACACTATAACCTGCTGGCAATGTGAGCAAAAAATTATTATTAAATCAGTCAATTAACTTTAGAAATTAGCTAAATCTTTTTCTTTTAGTTTTTTCCAAGACAGCCAGTCAATTTAATAAAAGAATTCATTGTTATTTATTGTTAAACAAATTTATATTTCTTAAAGATAACATTTATTATTTACAAGAGCTGATTATGCAGTCACAGATGTAAAATTTTTTATCTTTATTAGATATTTACATATATACAGCTGGTTGTTTGGATTAGAAAATGGAAAATATTTGGTTGTCAGTTTAAAGTTGAGAATCAATTAGAAAATTAGAAAGTTAATAAAAAGAATGAAAATAATAAGATTAATAAGAATGAAATTTTAGATTATTAACTGAAAAAAGAAGGAAAACTTAAAGAGAATTAAATAAATATTTAAAAGTGAGATTATAAAGGAAAAGACAAGAAACAAACAAGGAAAGATAATTTAAAAAGGTAAACTAAGGCACTGGTTATTATCATTATCTAATTCAGAAAAGTAATCCATAAATTGGATCTCTTATGTTGCCATGGATTTATCATTAAACTATTAAAGAAATTATGTCTTACTATGATGGTAATGTTCAAAAGTAGGTTTAATTGAAAATCAAATATTGTATCAAGGGACCTCTCACCTATCTTAAAAGGCAGATATATTAAGTTTTGAGTGAAGTCTTATAATGTACTTTAGCTTGCCTATCTACAATATATTGAATGATAAATTTAAGTATTTTTAAAATAAAAATATAAGGTTTTTAGAATGAAGAATTAATAATACAGCGTTGGCTAAAAAAAAATTGCATTTATATTATTAGATTTGACATTATTGTCGGTCAATTTTTTTTCTTTTAATTCTGGTAAAACCCAAAACATTAATTTGTTCTTAGAAATTTATCATAAAATATATGAATAGTGAGATAGGGAGTACCAAAAAATGCAAGGTTTAATGCCAGCGATATTATTGAAACTGGCGTATGGAAAGATAACCCTATAAAAACGAAATGAGTTAAATTTGTTTAATATTTGTACTCATGTTAATAAATGTCTAAAAAAGTACCATTTGTTTAATTTTTGTTTTTTTGAATAAGACATAAATCGGACAAAATGGTTGCTTTTTGAACATTTTTTATACATGAACATAAATTTAACACATTTCATTTTTATATTGCAATATAACTCCACATATCGATATATCCAACAATAATAATTTAAAAACGTGTTTATCCATGAAATTTGGATTACACAGTCATATAGTCAATATGGATTATATAAATTGCTATTTTAGGGTAGTACTTATGATTAGGTAAGGTTAAACTTCCTCTACTGACCTATGTCATCTTCTTTTTAGCATTATATCTAAATCCTTATTATATTATTACATATTAGGAAATTTCATAATTTTGTTGTTATACTATAATATTGTAGTATCCGTCATGGCTAGTAACATATCTAGAAGCCTTTGATAGAAGTTATAAAAATAAATTTCTATTAGAATATGTTATTTCAGTTAGATACATTATTCATTAAATAAATATTATTGCTTATCTAAACCTTTACTTACTTAAGCCAGTCGGTCTTAATTTGATAGCTAATAAAACTCAGCTTGTTCCTAAACTCAGTGCAAATGAAATATTTAATATTTTCACTTTTTGTTATTTATAAATATAAAACAAAATATATCAACAAATATATCAACAATTTATGCATTGAAGAATAATTTCATTGAAGTGTTAATACTACCAACATTTATTTATCATATCAGAAAAATAACAATATATTTAATATGTCCAATTACAAACTGATTTTATTCATGAATAAATATTACATATCCATACACAGTGTTGGACAATATTGTATGTTAATTGCAAATTACTATAAAATAATAGCTATATAAATATATATCAAGTGAATAATCTTTAGCACATAAAATATTATTATAATATAGTACTTTGTTTTGATTTCGTCTGGAGTCAGATTACTTGATCTAAACATTGAGAATTATAATCATCATCATTTTTTAGAAGATCTTTTGTAATAGGATTAAGTAATCGAGATATGTAAATAGCTTGTGGATGAGTAGCTGTTTGGTAATTTTCAATGGAAACAAGATATGCTCTTCTATATTCTTCTGCTTCCTTAAATTGTATTTCAATTTCTTCATTTTCTACAATAACAATATTCTCCACATATAACTCATAAAATGATTTTATTAATTTATATATCTCAAAAATATCTGGTCTATTATTTTTATCTAAATCCCAACACTTTTTCATTAAATCAATATAATATTTTGGTGCTTTTGGCTCACTTATTTTAGGTCTAACTCCTTTGCAAATATCTAATGCTAATTCATAATCATGTGCATGATTTCCAAAAGGTTGTCTTCCAGTTGCTACAAAGTACATTATCATACCAAAACTATAGATATCTGCTGCTTGAGTATAAGGCTTTCCTCTTAATACTTCAGGAGCCACATAAGGCATAACTCCATAAATTTTTGTTTCATCTAAATTATCAACTTCTCCACATAATCCCATATCTGAAATTAATACATAGTTACTAAAATTACTTATGAAATCTAAAAATAATATATTTCCTGTATGAAAATCATGATGAACTAAATTTCTTTGATGAATTTCTTTAAGACCAATAACAATATTAAGTAATACAGATATTTTATCCCTCCAATTAAAAAATTTATAGTTTTCATTTATCCATTTATTAAAATTGCCTTCTTTTGCATATTGGAGAACCATAATATATTCTTTTGTATCTGGATTTTGGGATATTCCATATATATTAAGAATATTACTACTTTTACTTATTGAGTACTCTTTAACCTATTAAAATACATTGATATCAAAAAATCATTATTACATCATGCTTAAATAAAGATTATTATAGTGTTTTTTTTAAAAAGTTTCATACCTCATTCAAAAATTTATCAGTAATACTTTTGGAATTATGCAAACATTTCAAAGCAATTGCTCTATTTGGACTCCTATTGTAAATGTCTTTATCCACACCATATTCTAATGGACCATTCTTCCACTTTGCTGAATATACTGTAGAAAAACCACCCTTATCTATTTCATTAATCTCATCAAACTGACTGTATGGTATCCATTCAAGCACTATATCATCATAGCCATAGTCATCTATTTTTAATTGCATTTCTTGAATGAAATAATCAATTTTTTCATTTCCACTTGTCCACATAAGAACTAAAATATAATCTTCTGTATCTGGATTTTGAGATATTCCATACAATGCTTGGAATGATTTATATTTTGTTGGATATTTTCTAGCCTAATTATAAATAAAAGAGATGTAAATATATTAATTAAAAAAGGTATTTAAATATTTGAAGAAATTTCATACCTCGTTTATTAGAGATTCAATGGAATTTTGTGAGTGATTTAAATATTTTAGAGCAACTTTTTTATTTAAATCTCTTGTATAATTGCTCTGACTATTCTTTTTGAATAACGGACCATCCTTCCATATTGCTGAATATACTGTTATAAGGTCATATTTGCCTGTCTCTTTAATTTCATTAAACTGATTGTATGGTATCCATTCAAACACTATATCATTATAATTATTAACTTTTAACTGCATTTCTTGGATGAAATCATCGATTTTTTCATTTCCACTTGTCCAGGTAAAAACAAAAATATAATCCCCTGTATCTGGATTTTGAGATATCCCATATAATACTTGAAATGCTTTATGTTTTGTTGGATATTTTTTAGCCTAATGTAAATAAAAGAGATTGTAAATATATTAATTAAAAGGCATTTATATATTTAAAAAAATTTCATACTTCATTTATTAAAGAATCAATGGATTCTTGTGTATTATGCAAACATTTTAAAGCAACTTTTTTATTTGAATCTCTTGTATAACTACTATAACTATATCCCTTATATAATGGACCATCCCTCCATATTGCTGAATATAATGTTATAAGACTATTTTTGCCTAATTCTTTAGTTTCATTAAACTGGTTATATGGTATCCATTCAAGCACTATATCATCATAGTCATTTATTTTTAGTTGCCTTTCTTGAATGAAGTTATCAATTTTTTCATTTCCACTAATCAATATATAGCTATTTTGGACCAAAATATAATCTCTTGTATCTGGATTTTGAGATATTCCATATAATACTAGAAATGCACCTTTGTCTGTTGAATATCTTTTAGCCTAAATATAAATACAAGGGATTGTAAATATATTAATTAAAAAAAATACTTAAGAAATTTCATACCTCATTTATTAAATAATCAATGGATTTTTGTGAATTATTTAAACATTTTAAAGCAACTTTTTTATTTGAATCTCTATCATAATCATCAAAATACTTGTATAATGGACCATCTTTCCATACTGCTGAATATACTGTTATAAAATCATTTTTGCCCGCTTCTTTAATTATATTGAATTGATTATAGGGTATCCATTCAAACACTATATTCTTATAGTAATTAATTGTTAATTGTCTTTCTTGAATTAAATCATCAATTTTTTCATTTCCACTGTTCCAATTTACTAAGTTAATAAAACTATTTTGAACAAAAATATAATATCCTGTATCTGGATTTTGAGATATTCCATACAATACTTGAAATGCATCTTTATCTGTTGAATATCTTTTAGCCTAAATATGAATAAAAGAGATTGTAAATATATTAATTAAAAAGGTATTTAAATATTTAAAGAATTTCATACCTCATTTATTAAAGAATCAATAGATTTTTGTGAATTATGTAAATATTTTAAAGCAACTTCTTTGTTTGAATCTCTATTATAATGTTTATAATGTTTATACTGTTCATTAT